GTCCGCCTTGATCGCCTGTGTGTGCGCGACGAGCGCGCGTGCTGCCTCCCGCTCCGCGCGCCGCGCCAGGGACTGCACACGCTGGCGTGCCTCGCGCTCGAAGGTCGCCTTGTCCTCCAGGAAGCGGCGCTTCACGCGGTGGAGCAGCTGCGTGTGCTCCACGCGCATGTGCAGCAGCTCGCGCTCCAGTGCCCGGATCCGCGCCAGCTGTTCCAGCTGCAACTCCTGCAGCAAGGGAACCGGTCAGCCCAGGGCCAGCCTACCTCGCCCAACCCTGCTCCCCGGTTCGCGGGCGCGCGCACTGGCCTTATAGGGCTGCAGCTCCTGCACCTGCCGCGCCATCTGCGCGGCGCGCGCCTCCATCTCCAGGAGCTGCGCGCGCACCCCTTCCTCGCGCCCGTGGTAGAGAGTCGCCAGCTCCCCCCGCTGCCAGTGGATCTGCGCCAGGTCCACGCGGTTCTGCTCGTCTAGCCGGACGATGGCGTGGGCGCAGCGCTGCGCGCGCGCGCTCACGTAGCTAGCGTAGAGCCGATTCTCCTCGCGCAGGCGCTGCGCCTCGCGGTCCAGGAAGGCGTTGTCCTGCAACACGCGGTCCACGCGCTCCTCGCTGGCGTTCAGCTGCTCCGAGAGCAGCGCGTACTCACGCTGCAGGTACTGTGCGCGCTCCGAAAGCTGTGGTTCCGCCGCCTCGCCCGCAGCGCCTGGCCGGCGCCCCGCGCTCGGCCAGCGCTTCTTCTTAGGCCCCATAGGTTTTGGCCTGGGCACTGGGACTTGTGAGGGCACCCAGTTCACCCCCTCCCCTTCCCCAGACCTCCTGTGCTAGACCCCAGGTCCAGAGGTGGGGCGCATCTCTGGGTCAGGAGGTTTGGGGTACGCAGAGTCAGGGCACAGGGGCTCAGGGCTCAGGGCAGTGTCACCAGTCTTTGCTCACCGGCTCCCCCCAGAACCTTGTCGGTTGGGGTGCGCCTACATCAGTAATGTTGATGCTCAGCTGGCATGGTCTCCAAGGAGACAGATCGTAGTCGCCCTCCCCCAGGTTGCTTGGGAGACGGTCTCCCACACGTCTGTCCTTTTGGGTACGAGAGGTCTGTGCCTGCACCCGCAGAGGAAGGGCGAGGCCGGCCGCACGTCGACTTCAGAGTGGCATCGCGTGGGAGTCTAACAATGCCCAGCAGCCCGCAGACGGCACGCCAGGGATTCAGCGCCCTGGGCCTCTGCCCAGCATGGACCCTCACCTGTTTGCCCCCTCCTGCCTGTGCAAGCTCTTCCTGTGCTCACCCTAGAGCTGACAGGTTTCCACGGACCCTTGCTCTTCCCGGACCCTTGCTCTTCCAGAGCGTCTGCTGACTCCTCCAGCTCCTTCAGAGGCCTGTGCAGGAGTGCTGGGTACCTGGAGTTTGGAGCCCCCCCACCCCACCCCACCCCACCCCCGGGCCTTGCCGGCAGCCCGGGGCCCCGTTTCTCTGAGCTTTCCAAGCATCCATTCTGGGTGCCTGAGGGGCTAAGGGGTTCAGGAGCTGCGGCTGGACCTCTTCTTACTTTTGACTTTGGGGAAACATTACTTTACTCAATCTTGGTTAGAAAACGTAAGTGGTGCTTTTTTTTTTTTTTTTTTTGAGAGATTTTCACTGTAGGGCGCGTGCGCTCGCCAGACAGACAGAAAGACAGAAAGCGAGAAATCACCCCCCAGGGGGGATGGTCACGCTGCAATCCGAACCGCGGTCGACTACGTGGGAGTCCAGCGACATAGCCATTACGCTAACTGCTGGTTCCCGAAAACGTAAGTGGTGCTTTGAGCCACACTGGTGATGCCAGCTCCTCACCCTGTCAAGTGCCTCAGGAAGAGGGCGTCAGCAGCCCGGGACATGCACCTGGCTGCGTGGCCTGAGGTTGAGGCAGGCGGATCCCCCATGGCTGACAGCTGTTTGAGTCCTGGACCCCTGACTTGAGAAATGTGCCCAGTGGGAACATGTGTACCCAGGATCCCAAACGGAGGGAGAGATGGAGAAGGGGTCGTAGGTGACCATTCCCCATTGGGGGTGCTTTCTCCCTCTCCCTGTCACTCTGTTGAGCTCAGGTGCCCTCTAGCAAAACAAACAAAAAACTACACCCATTCTGTTTCCTGTCCCTGTGTTGTGCTTCCGCCTGGGTCTGTCCACTTCTGCAGGGGTCTGGGCAGATTCAAGGAGCCTTGACTTGCAACTTTGTGAGGGAATGGGTTTTGGAAGCCATATTTGCACAAAGATCTGTATTGAAAACTGTCTTAGGTTGATTTCGGAGCGTTGGCAACGCAGTCACATCGCTGAACTTGTTCTAATTAGCTATATCTGCCTGAAAGGGCCTCTTCAAAATAGAAATTCAGGGGGCCTGCAGGTGGTGTAGTGGTTAAGGTGCTGGATGCCCACATGACTGACCACGGTTTGAGTCTCAGACCTGGCGGCTTGAAAATCACACCGGATGTGTGTCTGCATACTCAAAATCCCAGGAGGAGAATGAAGGAAGAGGGATTGTGGTGTGGCCTTCTCCCCTGGGGAGTGATTTGTCACTTTCTTTGTCACCATCTCTGTCTCTCTAATAAAAACCATATTGCAAAAACCTTAAAAAAAATTAAAAACTCAGTTGAGGCATTTTCCTCCTTGTAAAAAGTGTATTTTATGAGTGCAAATGAAATGCCACGACCTGGGGGCTTGGTGGTGGTGCAGGGGTGCCCAGTGCTCTCTGAGGCCTACCCACACGGAGAGGTTCTGGGTTCCCTGCAGAGACCTCCTGGAGGGTGCCGTTCCCCTGGTGGGGCCGAGTCACAGGGCTGAGCGCCCTGGGAATACTGTCTCTGTCACTGTCCCTTGCTCATGGAAGACGGAAATCAGCTTTGAAAAATGACACAAACTGGGCCAGCCTGTGGCCTGGTGTTTAGGGCAGCCACATCCCACTTGGCCAACAGCGGGATCGAGTCCCAGACCTGGCAGTGGAACTATGCTAGGTGTATGGGGGTGCGTGCCCAAAACCCTGAAGAGAGGGCGGGAGGGTGGGGTGGTGGCAGCATAGCTGCTCTTCACAGGTGCAGCCTCCTCTGCCGCCTGGCCTGTCTGACAAGCAAGCGTGCCCTCTAACAAACGAGAAACACATGAGAGTGTGCACTCTTGTTTTAGCATTAAAATAGAAGAAACACTGATTCATAAACTCCTAAAACGTCTAAATGTTATCTCTAAAATCCAGACGTTGGGGCCAGCAGGTGGTGTAGTGATTAAGGCTCTGGACTCCCAAGTGGCCAATGGTGGTTGGAGTCCCGGACCCAGCGGCTTGAAACTCATGCCAGGCAAGTGTATGTGTGTGTGTGTGTGTGTGTGTGTGTGTGTGTGTATGCGCGCGTGCATGCATGCTTGCATGCATGCCCCAAAATCCCAAGAGCAGAATGGGGGAGGAGGGATCGTGGCATGGCCATTTCCTCTGGGGAGTGATTTCTTGCTTTCTGTCTCTGTCGAGCGCATGTGCCCTACAACAACGACAAAAATAAATAATAATAATTTAAAGATACAGACTTTGAGGGGCCACTAGTGACGTAGTGGTTAAGGCACTGGACTGATACAGCCTACATGATTAGAGTCCTGGACCCTGGGTCTTTTTTTTTTTTTTTTTTTGAGAGGTTTTTGCTATAGGGCATGTGCGCTCGCCAGACAGAGAGAGACACAGAGACAGAAAGTGAGAAATCACCCCCCAGGGGGGATGGCCATGCTGCAATCCTTTCTCCTCCATTCTCCTCTCGGGATCTTGGGCACGCACGCACACGTGCCCGACGTGAGTTTTAAGCCACCGGGTCTGGGGCGTGAACCACAGTCGACTACATGAGAGTCCAGCGACAGAGCCATTATGCTAACTGCTGTTCCCTGGACCCTCTCTCACAGGAGATTGCCACCGTAGTCTCCCTCCAACAGCCGTCATGATGACCTACTGAAAATGTAGATGTTCTCTGACATCGATGGGAGGGGCTGTGCCTGGAGGGGGAGAGGGAGGAGGAGCCAGTCAGTAGGGCAGAGGGTGACACTGATGACTCACTTGGTGGAAATGCCTCCTCCAAAGGCCCCAAGGGCGAAGGTACCAGAAGCACAGGAGTCACTGGGTTGACCCTGTCATGAGCTTACAGGAAACCAGGCTCACAAGAGAGCAGCAAGAAGTCCATCAAGGGTGACAGGAGGGGACCAGCAGTTGGGGTAATGGCTATGTCACTGAACTCCCATGTAGTTGACTGTGGTTGGAGTCCTGGACCCGGTGGTTTAAACTCACACCGGGCGCGTGTGCGTGCGTGCCCAAGATCCCGAGAGGAAAATGGAGGAGAAGGGACTGTGGTGTGGCCATCCCCCCGGGGGGTGATTTCTCGCTTTCTGTCTCTCTGTCTCTCCCTGTCTTTCTGGTGAGTGCACACGCCCTATAGCAAAAAAAGACCTCTCCCCCCAAAAAAAGAAAAGATGAATGTGATCCTGATATGGATACCGTACTTCAGCTGTGAAATATTGGTTTCCTTGACCAAAAAGGGAGACATCCCCCTCCAGACTCATTTCTAGTGGGTAGAGATAGCTCTGTGTCTCTCTCTCTCCATTTATGTCTGTCTCTCTCTGTCTCACTGTGTCTCCCTGTGACTTTTAATTAAAAAAATTTTTTTAATGTAAATGATTCTCTCGGCTCTCAAGCCTCTCCCTTATTGAGAGACTTGGTTAATTGGTGCCTTTCCTCACTTCATTTAGGAAAGGCACCAACGAAGCCAGGCCTATCCTGATACGGGTACTGTACTTCAACTGTGAAGTACTGGTTTTGTGCCACGAGGTTTTCATTTTTGCTTTTTAAAGTTACAATCTTATGGGATTTTTTTTTAATCCTCTTTTTTTTTCTTTTTTGTTTTCATTTTATTTTTTCTTCTTTTCTCTTCTTAATTCTTTTCCTTTTTTCTTTATCTTTATTCATTTTCTGATCAGCCTCTATGCACTAAGTGTCTAGACAGGTCCAAGTGAACAGTTTCCAATCATCTGAATGTGATTAGGGTCAGAATTTTCCTCTCTTCTCCCTGAATCTGATGTACAAAGAGTGAATATGGAACAGAAGAAAGTCTGCAGATCACCTCCTCCTGCACGCCTCTGATGCTCAGATTGAACCTCAAGAATGAGGAAGAAACGCACCATGCATCAGATGACTAGAAGTCACTGCAGGATCACAAGAAATGTGGCAAAGCACGACAATACCTCTCCTCCAAGGGAAAAGAATAACTCCTCTTCATCCTTAGACAGTTCAATGAAACTCATGGGAATGTCTGATAAGGATATTAGAATATTCATAATGACAAAGCTAACAGAGATAGAAGAGGAGAGACAAGTGCAGAAGAGGCAGGAGAAAAGAGTTGACGAGTTCCAGGAGGTAAGGGAATTCTTGCAAGATGTAAAAGAGGAAATACATACTCTAAACAATAACCAAGTGGATCTGTTAGAGTTGAAGGCAGGAAGTCAAAGTCTCTCTTGAAAGTATTAAAAGCAGACTAGATCATACAGAAAAATAGAATCTCAGACGTAGAAGATAGAATTACTGGCCTAGAAAAATCCACTGTGAAGACTGAGAAAATGGCCCCCCAAAATGAGAATATATGAGAAGTACTAGATACCATCAAACATCCAAGCATCTGGATAATCGGTATCCCAGAAGGCAGAGACTCATAAGGGTATTGATAATCTGTTCCATGAAATCCTGTGAGAAAACTTTCTAAACCTAGAGGGGCACTCAAAGATCCAGTCCCAAGAAATATAAAGGACCCTAAATAGAATCAACCCAAGAATATCTTCTCCAAGACACATTATAGCCAGATTGACCAAAACTACAGACAAAGACAAGATACTAAAATTGGCAAGAGAAAAATGACAAGTTACCTACAAAGGACATCCCATCAGGCTAACAGCAGACCTCTCATTGGAAACAATGCGAGTGAGGGAAGAATGGGAAAATATATTCAAAGTGTTAAGGGAAAAGCAATTTCAACCAAGAATACTGT